AAAACACATTGTTCTGAACTGGAGAGCAGAGCACAGTGATATGGAGATGGAGTGGCTCTATTTGACAGCAGCACTTGTGTGGCATAATTATGTAATTGTTCTGAAGAGCCTCCGTAAGGCCATTTAAAATCTCTTAAGGACTTTTACATTCTTCTCTGGAATTTTCTGTCTAAATATTACTTATCTGCTGTGATATGTTTGGCAGCAAGATTGAATAAGACCTGGTAATTACTTAGAATTAATGAAAATGTAACAAGGAACTGAAGCCACATGAGTGGGAGCACATGAGTGATTTAGTTATAGTGACAACACTGAAATTAGCAGTGGCCATGCAACAAAACCCTTAAGGAAAGAAAGCAATTAGTTATAATTGTACCAGTACCAATGCTAAGGGCCTTCTCCAAAGGGATTTATGGCATGCTTCAAATGCATTAGAGGAAAAACACAAAGATGACAGAGTCTCTAACTTATAAATCATCTCAATATGAATCAAGTAGGTCGATCTGAATGTGAAGCTTAAAAGATATAGTTAACCCAAAACTAAAAATGTACTCAACCCTCAGGCCATCCAAGATGTGAAGCGAAAAGCTGTATGTTTGTAAGAAACAAATCCATCAAGGCGTTTTAACTTTAAATTGTTGCTTCTGGACAGAATATGAGTCCATAATCCATAATAACACTTCCTCCAGTGGAAAAAGTCCATCACTTGTTCTATATTTGTTTAGAACCATTTTCTCTTGTAAACGGTGTTTGATCTGTGAATATTTTTCTCCTGATTCAGATGAGACAACTTTTTCCACAAGAGAAAACCATAGGATAGAGGACTCGTATTTTAGCCAGAACCAACGCCTTCTGTGGAACACAAAAAAATTAACAGATTCAAAACTAATGGCCATTTAGGTCCAAATAGACCAAAAACACAGTCAATTTGAGTGCTATATTCAAAGTCATCTAAATCCGTACAATAGATTTTTGTAAGAAAACAGGCCAAAATACAGATTAGGACTCATGACAACTTTCATTTTCAGGTGAACTGTCCTTTTAAAGAGTATTGCTTGAGCCGATATCCCAACAGAAATAATTCTATCGTGTTTTGTGATTTCCTGTGAATAGAGGGCATTGTAAGACTGTGATTGTATAATGTAAAGTAGTGACATCTTCTTTAAAAACTCCACATAAACAAGCAGCACATAAACAAACTTTGAACAGTCAGTCTTTTTTCTTCAAGGGGTTTTGGTCTTTTTCTTTCTCTCTAGCCCTGGATTTACAATGAGCTCCAAACCAAAGAACTATGTTTGTTAAGAAAATTCTATACACCTCACTGCAGCTGAACTTTCTGGAAAGCAGAAACTGTACCAGGTGTGTTGCACTCATATTTTACTCTTCATGCGTCTTGGACTAATATTAAACCACTAGGTTTTGTTCATTTCTTCAGAAGAATTAAAAACAGTGCAGAAGCTTCATTGCAGCCTGCTGCTCTGTCAGTCACAGCCAAATCTCTTCAAAGGATCCCTAAAACCTCAAAGAAAAAGGCCTGGGGCCCCACTGGCTCAAATTCTGCTTTAAAATGAATTTCCATGTCGCACCACAGACAGGTGCACAGCCTGATGAAACAATTGGGGTTTTGGGTGATGAATTTGGGTTGCGTCCACATGATCAACCACAGCATGAAAAACAGACATTACACAACCGAACAATTTAAAAACAATCAGTACTTTAATAAAAATGCAGGTGATGACAAAATCGAACCGGTTTTAGACAAAGGTCAAAACAGGACCATATTACATTGAATGTATACAGTAATAATAAATCTTTTCAAAACTGGTTAGCAGTGTACAGGTACTTAACATTTATAAAATAAAAAAGGTTCCCAAAAATCAGGTCTCTAGAGTTTCCCAGCCTCTTTAAACCTGAGGAGCAAACCATCATCGGCCCGCAGCGGGAACGCCAGGCTGCGGTTGCGATAGTAACTGGAATCTGCCTGCAAGTTCTGAATGACATCAGAAAGCAAGTGGGCTCTTTCCACTCTACAACCTGGAGCGTCGAACTCAAGAGAGGTGAAATGGACGTGGAGGTGATAGTATGATGGCTGATAGTGGAGATACATGCGCAGTTTCCTCTGAGGGATGCCGTACTGCTGCTGAATGGCGTCCTGTAGATATAGACTGTAGATATAGACGAGACTTGAATTTGAATTTGATGTATGCAGCCACGCTACAGCTCACAAATGCACTTGGAAAAACCCAGTGTTGTGATTTTCATAGTGTTGGTATTTTGTTTTAGGGATTTTGGGTTGAGATTGCAACATGTTGCAGGCTGGAATCGAACCGGTGTTTTCCACAGGATCACTACAGCTCAAAATATCTAGAGCACATGTGGTAACCACTACACCAAGTGTTTTTAAAAAGCAAGCAGACAGTGGACAAGCAGACTGTCCCCTTGGTTAGTGTATCCCATCATGCATCATGTTCTGGAAATAAATCGTGAGACTTTTTGCCAAGATCGCGGGAGAGGTCACGGAAACCTTTCCAATGCAAGTTAAATATGAATAATAATAAGATATTACATATAATTTGGTAGTAAAACAAAGTGCTACACATTTTTATTGCTGCAAAGATTAGTCTATTTATTTTCGTACAACATTTGCAACTGCTTTTTATCACTTAATTAAATTGGCATCTATAGGGACTACTGAACAGACATTTAGAAGTTGATTTTAAAACGCAGTAAGTATTGAAAATAATAATACAACTCTGTAAACAATTTGCATTTTTACAACACTATAAGTGTGTCCCATCAGGTAATGAAAAGTTGTACACACACTTGTGGTCTTCATGTTCACTTGAACACTTGATCAAATACAGGAAATACGTCATATAAGTAGTCAAGTGTAAAGACCACAAGTGTGGGTATTTGGACAAGGCAAAAGAGTGGTTTACATGTTCAGATCACCAGTGACATCTAGTGGACAACAGAACCACAACTCTACTTCATTGTGAAGAAAGTCATTTGTACACTAAAAAAAAAGGATGTAGAAACAATTCTCACTCAGAAACTGCTAGGAACAATTAACACAATTATTTTCAAAGAAACAGCAAATAAAACATTGAATCACCTTTGAAGAAGAAAGACTGAAATAGTATTTTCTTGTCAAATGCATTGCATTAATCTTTGTTTTAATTACAACTTTGAAAAATCATTTCGATTTTCATATGATCCATTACTCACCTCTCCTTTACTGCGAATGTTTGTGAGTAACGGCAGGTGCTCTGATGTAAGATCCCTTAAACTTTTAACATCCCTCCGGTGGACGATAGCAATCAAATACAGGTCTTGTAGCTGGAGAGGAAAGGAAACATTCATTGTTTTTCACTGGCCTTTTATTCACCCTTAAATAATATGACACTGATTCACCTCAAATTTACCTGCTTTTGATCCCACTTGAAATCGGGCAACAAAACAAAACCAGTATCGGGATCTGGATCCTCGAAAACAATCCGATCAGCCTCGGCTTTCTTCTCCAATATGTTGTGCACCCACTGAAACCAAAATGAAAGATTGACAAAGAAAGAACAGACTTTCAGAGATTCCTTACAGACCTCTTAATCTCTG